GAGGCGCCCGGTGGCCCGTTTGTCAGACTAACTGGGTTTCTTACAAGGCAAAGGGGCCATCGGATTCCTGCCTCTTCAAACTGGAGCCCAAGACGTTTCAGTCTATTTAGTGTCAGTCAGTTTGGAGGACGAGGCTGAGTTTGCACGCCAGGATAAGCCAAAACCAGACAAAACGCTTTATGGCTTAAAATGTTGCATGAAGCCATTATAATAAGTAAATTGTGGTTCAGCTTGTCCTGCAAACCTAGGCAGCTGTGGTCTATTCAATAAACAATGGCTAGGCAACGTGCAAACCTAACTGTTGAGCTTCTGGCTGCAGCTCAGTTTTATAGACTGCTTCGATATGCCCTGAAAGGCAGGAACTTCCAGTTATGTCACCCCAATACTTCAGATACGGGGCAGTCGCACAATAATCAATTCACACCAGATAGTTAATACAAATGTTAGTTTTATAAAATGGTATTATATCTCCTTGCACCAGGAGGACCCCTCACAACTTTTACTAGGGAATCTTGTCATCGTTTTTCTCCCTCAGGTTCTGTGGAAGACAGTTTGAAAATCCTGAACTAGACCATCACGTCAAGCCATTTTATGGCTGGACGGTTGGTTCGTTGACTTTTGTACACCACAGTATATAAACCCAGCCAATTGTGGTTTATCCAAAAACACTGATGAAATAAGCCACCGCTTAGTAGGATACAGGAATCCAATCAGCTAAATTGCACAGGGGTGCCCTTTGGAGGCCAGGCGATCCCTCAAACATTCAATTGCCTTCTTCCACAGAAGGTTCAGAGGCAGCTTCCCACCCACGCAGATTAAGAAAGCCGACAACAGCTTAGCCGGACTGTGCTACGATATCCATAGCCTCTCCTCCCACAATCAGCAGCCCTAAGTTTGCTCGCTGGTCTTGGCAAGCCCACCGTGGCGTAGTTCCCTAAACTCTCTCACAGGGGAAGACAGTTCCCTGAACATCAAGTACAAACCCTAACAGAAAACCGTTGGTTTTTCAAAGATGCAGGTGACTTGAGCTCAGGCGATGCTGCCTCTGACTCTCATGCTGGGGGAGAATGTTTCCTACTCAAGTACAGGGAGAGGGCTGTTGGTTTATGTGGGTAGAATCCCAACTCCCCCACCCCATCCTAAAACCCTCGCCTGAAACACCAAGAGGGCAGATGTTTTACAAGCCACGGGACAATGAGCAACCTCTCGGCATTGTTTTAAGGCCCCACAGAGCAATTCCCTGGAGCATGTGCCAGCTTGACTAAAGCAGCAAAGCAATACTGGAGGGCAGAGCATCTAAACTCCAGTATTTACGTGCTGCTAAAGCAGAGCAGACAGACTTTTCCGTTTCTGCGCCCCCCCCCCCGGCGCGAGAAAACAAGGTGCCAATGAAAAGAGATTCATAGAGAGGCTGACTTTTAAATTTTGGGGGACAATTCAGTTTGAAAACTTATGCCTTCTGACCTGGGAGTAGCTCTAAGGAACTTAAAGCTCTACTTCCAAGAAAATGTATTATTCTGCCAGAAGCCTGCAACCCAGGGCTCAGTTCTGCTGGGGATGAAAAAGTTCAGGAGAGATGCTATCAGCTTTTAAATGCCATTAGAGCTTGGACAGCCTGGGTTTCTTCTTTGCATTTCTATCCCATTCCCAACATTCTGGACTAAGAGAAGGCCCTGCTGTGCCCATACATCAGACCCTCATGGTTGAGGTGATGCTGAAATAATTTCCCAATATTTGTTCCACTTTTGAGGGTAGGAAAGGAGAAGGAAAGTTAAGGCAGATGCTACAGTCTATGTGCCATATTCTCTTTGACGCAGAATGTGCAGCTTAAAGGGAGAATCCACTGAAAGAATTCATATTTATACATACCTCACCAGGTAAGCTAAGAGAAAGTTTGGGATGGTCTTGGATGAGTCTGACAATCGTCTATCTTGGACTTAACCCTTGAGGTCATGAGGCAGCCCAGAACGGTCTGTATCTTCTTTTCTCTACAAACCATGTCGTGCTGCTACGCCACCTCAAGGTTGGCCATCGGAGTGAGTGTCCCCAAGGAGGCTGAGCTGCAAAGCGAGCCAAGAAGCAGGACTTCAGCAGGATTTCCGTCCCTACTTCCAAATATACAGGGAGAAAGGGTTTGGACTAGCATCTGAACAAGTAGCCGCAACAGAATATTAATCAGCGCTCCATGAAGACTTTGGAGGACTAGTTCCTGGCTTCTGAATCACTCAAGGAGAACCCAAACTATGATAGAATTGGTGGCATCAGATGGGAAAACAACGTCTCGAAGGCTTTATGCTAGCTCAGACTTTTCCATGCCTGCCTCCCATATTAATACAAGCCAGAACTCCTGTATTCGCCTCTAAAAACAGCGTCCAGCACCTGTTCCAGCAGTAGCCAGTGGTGCATTTCAAGTGATCAATTCAGGGAAAGTTTAATTTGTTCCAGGGCAAATGTGCATGTACAATCTCAGTTGGAAAATCAAGCAATTTGAGAAAGTGATATTCTATGATTTCCATCAACCTTTCCCATACTTTTACCGTGCGCCACAGACACAATGGCAGCTGTCAGTCACAAAGACATTTATTTGTAGGTTCCGTTATCCAACTATGTATTTTGTATGGTAAAAGCATTCACTGAGTTAGCAGATTCTTTTTTTAAATAAGTCCTGTGGACACTGTTAACTTCAGTGCTTTATATACCTGGAGTTTTGTTCCCTCCAATTATTTGATTTGCTTAATAATTCTTAGTTTATCTACACATATTTACAGCATGTATTGCAGGCTTCCCTGGCCTAAAGCCTTCCAGATAGGTTGAACCACAATGCTCACAATTCCCAGACCTACATAACTATCCTTTATTCGTTTTTTTTTAATTAAGCAACTTCTACACCCCATATAAATGCATTATAAACTTGGATAACCCTTCCTTTGCATTAACTCAAACTGTCTCAGTGCAGACTTTTAAAACACATGATAAGAAGAAAGCTAAATTCACTGAATTCTGTTTTTGTTTTTGTTTTAAAAAAAGATAAATCTTTAGAAATGCAGTTATATAAAGTGCCAGTAGATAGTATCACAACTACCAATGAGGCTTTGTAGCCTGTGAAATAAACTGTCTTTAAGTATTCTGGATTACAATGAATTTATTTGTTTATCATACTTCTCTGAGAAATCTTTACAGCCACCGCAATATATATCATATTTTCACTACTTAAAGCAGGTATGTTTTAAAGAATATTTGTAGGGACTACATGCAACATTGACAGTTTTTTTTTTCCCGTGTGGAGATTTAGCAGAGAAATGCTGCCACAGTTGAGCAGGATTTAACCCATAAAAACTGAAGGGAGACCAGATGGCACACGCAGACCACCTTACCCACTTGGTACACCATGGGTACAACAAGCCCCATGTTCTTGTAGCAGCTCCTGTTCACAACAACTAATAGAAGCAACCGAAGAGTTCTTTTCTAGGAGTACGTGTCAGGGCACTGATTATGCCTCAGTTTCGCTGGAAGGCTTGAAATGCAGAGAGAAGGCTAGTGGGGAACTTAAACATTACCGCCAATTAAGCCAGAAGCCGCCATGCTAGGTGAGCCATTGCTCTGAATCAACCTAAGTGGGCTCTTTTAAATCTCTGTTCATTTTATTCACATGTGTCAACTTACCTGTGACGGATAAAAATAATGGAAAGAGGACTCCTTGGAGAGATCTGTCTTCAGTTGTGACAGGAACTAAAACATCAAACCCCACAAAGAATAGGTCTTACTAACTGCTTTAAGGCATATTTTAGATAAAAGTCATGAATGCAAAAACTAACTGTACCGGGCTCGTGAACCTTTGGGCTGTGAGAGGAAGTTGTGAGCACTAATTTTTAAGTGGGGAAAACCCTACTCCCCCAGAGACTGGTTACATGGGGAAAACCTGTACCCTCAGAGATGTGGAATCTGATTACTCCCATTCCTTTGTGGCCTCCTTAATTTTTTAGTAACACACCCAGAAACAAGACTACTGGAACTATGATCTGGAGCCAAATTCCAGCCAGAGCTGAACCTTCTTCTGAAGCCCCATTAGAGTCCATGGAAGACTCAGCCATGAGAATAACTCTCTATCATTTATATCAACGGCACGTTGAAGCTATTGGACTAAACTGAAGATGGGCAAGTCACTAGGGTTACGGACTGTCTAACGGCTCAAGAAACAGACTAACTTCTCGAGATGCAGAGACCCATCTTCGTTTTGGCTACTACACTTGACCAAGGTAGGAGCTAGAGAAGAGTTCTGTGTGAAAGAAGACACAACGTTCTGGCTGTAGCAAGGAGGACATTGCTAACAGCCAGCAGGCCAGGCCTCTATGGAAACTGCAGTCACCAAATGGCAGGCCTGCACATTCTTTTACCTCCACAGACAATGAAATTAACTGGACACGTGTCGGCCTCCCTCCCTCCCCCCTCCGTTAATCTAGCAGGGGGAAACAACAACATACCCCCAAATGCTGCCATTCTGCACACCAAGTCTGCCCGATGTTCTTCTTCCCTAGTGGAGATGCAGCTAATGTGCAGAACCTGTGCCTGAAATTAAAACAAAACAAAACAAAAAACAGAGGAAATCAATGGAAGGGTTGAAGAAAGTCATATGTGGAAATAGAATAGGGTGAAGTCAGATCGCCTTCAAAGAATACGGAAGAGGGCTGGCACCCTTTGGCCCTTCAGCCAGGCTGCACACTTTGGCTGCTGAGCAATCCCTCAAGCAAGGAGGGGGCATCTTCCAATTCACCCTTCTCCAGAACACTGTAGCAAAAAGTACACCATCATCATCTAGAAAGAAAGAAATCTCCCTGTGTGTGTCGGAGGCCCCACTTTGCGAGGCACAAGTTATCACATCCTACTTGCAGCCCTCGTCCAACCAGCATTTTAATAACTCCCTTTTAGCAGAGTGAAACTTGAGTTTTGTGAAGTTTGTGGCTTGTCTGTGAGTTTATTTGCAATAAGCAAAGAAGGAGCTACACAGATACATAACAAATTGAAACCAACATAGCCTGCATCTCAGAAGGGACACCACTTAATCCCATTTTGGGGTGTGGATGATCATTATAAAAAGATTCTTGCTTGGATTAAGTGACATTTCTAACTCCTGTGTCGAATCTTGGCCTTATGAATGAGTAAACCAATGTCTAAAGTGGCTTACACTTTTGGAAATCTATTACAGATGCAAATGTGCACACATACACACGTGAGAGGAAGCAGACAGATATACAGGGCATTAACCAGACAGACAGACTGGATTCACACATGCGAAATATGGTTTATTTAAGTATGGCTTACTGAATAAACCACAACTGGCTGAGTCTGTGCTAATATGCTAAGCCACAAACATTATTTTCAAACTGCAATAGCTCACACAAAACTAACACTGAAAAAAATGCATGACTTGGGGTGATAGGAGCTGGGCAGAAATGCTAAGCAGTGAAACTCTTTCCAAGAGAAACCCTATTGAGCTGTGTAAGGTCCTGGTGCTGAATTGTCCCCTAGTTGCCTATTTCAGCATGAATTAAAAAATAATAATTTTATTAATGAAACGTTTCACCTTTCCTATTTCTTCCACATACAAAGATTGCACATTTTTACACCTCCATTAAAAGGCTAGCCCAAACCAGTCATATGTGGGAAGTAAGCAGTAAAAGAAAGAATTATTAATTTTGAGTGAACTTACCAAAGTCACCCTCTTTTTGAAAAAAATCTCTTGAAATAATCTGCCTGACCTACAACCAGAAATAAAAGAATTTAGAAGACGACACCCACTTGCTGTCCATCACCCTCACCCCCAGTCAAATTTAAAAACAAACTCTTTGTTATATTTTTTCAATGTAGGCTAAGGCAAGATAGCACCTTTCAAAAGAAATATAAACAAACAATATCGTAATGTGTTCTCAATGCACCATCAGCTTAAACACAGAAAGCAAACTGCTACGAATGGCCATAAATAACTTTTTAAAATGCAACTTATTATCCAAAACACACCCACATTTTAGTTCATCGTCACTCCATTTAAATCACACACGTATCCTTCCTCCATTCCCCCCCCCCATAAAAGATAATTTAAAAACCGACCAGGATTAACATATTGATAAGTTGATATCCAAACTCTCCTATTAGCCTAAAATCCTTGTTACACAGCTCTTAAACTTTTGCATAGAGGAAGAACTTATGTTCTCCTTGTCTATGCGAGGAAATTTTATTACTTTTTTAAAGGAGAACACAAGGGAATTCAAGACCTCCATATACTGTATGTTAGAATGCCAGTAAAACTTTTCCTTCAAAAGTGCTGACGAAGAACAATATCTAACTCCCTAGAGCTTTTCCATTTGAGTAGTGTCGCCTCCTCTAGATGTAAAGTCTACATTGCAGACTCAAAACCAAACTCTTAAAAACATCATTTGTTAAAACCAAGAGGTAGAGAAGTAAGAAATCTGTCCAGGATCAGCATTCATTTAATGTGAGCTGCATGCGAGCACATACATGCGTGCACACACGCACACACAGAGCAGATTAATTGTCTTTTTAAGTTCTGTCGCACCTTTTCTGCGCTTTTCGACCAGAAACTTTATTACTTGGGAAAGGATTTCAAAAAGGCAGTCAGTTTTCTTCCCCACCCCACATTACTGCACAATTAAACAAAAACTGACACTAATCTATCTCTTTGATGCTCCCCTGCACACACACCCCGCCACAGCTACAAAAGAGGTTTCCCCCCTCCCTGCACACTTCATAGCCTTTTCTTAAGCTCTGCAGAGAGGGAAAAAAAATTCCTCAGCAGCCCCTGAAAATTCTTCTAGCTGTTGCTTGCATATGGTTAAAAGAGGGCAATGCAGTTTATATCACCAGCCGTATTATATTCATGCACTCAACGTATTATGTAGAAGTTCGTATGTCCGTCAAAATACTTTTACACTTCCTGTATAAAAATACCAGTAGTAAAGGTATAGCAAAATAGAAGGGTTATATTGATTTTATGTATATAAAAAAGTCCAAACGGTTCGAAACTTTAGTAAATTTTAGATTCATCTGGGACCTTGTACATTTCACCCACGGTACTTTTTGAAAAGTACTTTTTCAATTATTGAATAAAAATTAGTGTTTGGAAATATACAACTGACCTTTTTGCAAAAACATTTTAAAGTTGTAGCAAACTTAATGTGCAGGATCAATTTTTTAAAATAATCTAAATTAGGCTTAATTAGAAGGGATACATAGAAATATTTTTAAAAATTAATCCTGCAATTTAAAAAGTCTACCAGGTTTATACTGGTTCATGGTACCATTATTTTAGTCAGTTTCTTAAATTACATTTCAATTCATTGTTGTAAAATAAACCATATTGTCAGAAATAAAGTATAATATATGGCAAAATAATTTCTACAATTGTTTATTTTTTTTTTAAATTACTTACACACTGTAAAAATTATTCATTTACACATGTGTGCTAGGTATTTTTTTCATTAGAACGATGGACTTTTAATGTAAAAAATAGGATTTGTTGTGAGCATCCTACACCTCACAATTTTTAGTGCAGCTCTTGGTTATTCCTGTTATAAAGTCTGAAACAAATTTCTATGTTTCCATTTAAAACAGGCCATTTTGAATTCAAACAACCGTTTGTTAAATTTATTGCCAAAACAGGGGCCCACAAAAATCGTTGTATTTTGTATTTCAAAAGCTCTTTTTATTATTTTACATACGTAAAGAAAAAGTGAAATGAAACTTTCTTCTCACTGGCTCCAGCAATGCAGTTTCTTTCTAAATGTTACTCCAATACCTTAAGGCAACTGAAATTTTTTTTCATTCACTTTTGCTTCGATAGAAACTTGGGGGGGGAGAAGTAATATTTTTGGTGCAACTAATTTCCCTTGGAGGAAAAATTCCGCGGGGCATCGTTTTAACTCTTGCTCTGCCGGCCACTGTTGGAAAGGTCTGTAACCTTGGCAGCCCTTCGCCGGGGGGGGTGGAGGGGGAGCGAAGGAAATGCAAAACAGAAGCGGAGGCTCCCAGTTCCACCGACCTGACCAGGTTCTGCACCTGCCGCTTGAGGAGCCTCCCCT